CACACACACACACACACACACACACACACACACACACACACACTGAGCACAACTCTCTTTCTCAGCCACACAGAACTGGTCATCAGTCCTGAATAGTTGATTAACAAAGATGCTATTTTAAATTTAGGTAAACTATATCCACTAAAACTCTTCACGACAACCATACACTAACATTTTTAAACAAAATGACCAAATAACACAGCAGTCGTACATTTTAAAATGGTTGCTAGCATTAGCACTCATTAAGCTAACTCTAAAAAATGTGTTGATACTTTCTGACCAAAATAAATCAGTTCAGCTCACTCTTTTTAATTTGTATTTGACAACATTGAAACAGTTTTTTGTGCACTTTCTGAACCAAATTATTTAAATAATTCGCGGTTTATGAGCTAAACACTAAATAATCATATTGTGAAAAAGAATAAAGGTCATTTGGGGAAAAATAAAGCACATATGAAGTAAAAAGAAAAGCTGGAATAAAATACAAACTCAGCAGGAGGAAGTATCTCATCTTCTGTCAACAAAAAGTTCATAGCCTCCATTGTTTTTCTCCACATATGCTAGTGATGTTTGCACAGAGCCTGCCTCATACACACATTGATGTTACATTAGGAGTGTGAAGTGAAGCAGAAACAGGATCTCTGAGGATGAAACATGTATGGGAACGAGTTGGAGGGATGAATGGAAACTGTGAGCTCATGATATGGTGATGATAAAACAACCTGCAAAGCTCCAAATGGTCATGATATAACTGAAAATGGACCTGCAACAATAATTAGGGCTTCATCACTGATGTGTGAACAAATTATGGAGACAGGTTGATGAAGGAGCATGAACTCACATGCTCTTCCAAGTAAAGAAGGCATGGCACCGTTTACAACCTTGTTTTTATTTATTCGGCTGTTTTTAAACCACCTACCAGGCCTATCTTGTTTGCTAGTCCTCTCCACTGTGTTTGCAGAAAAACAAGAGAAAAGAGACAGGAAGGAAAAGGGAACAGACAAAAAAAGTGTCTTATTTAGTGTCAAAAGCATGATGGGAAAGAGTGGAGGCAGGATGGAGAGAAGGGAGGAGGCTCAGGTGAAACAAGGATAGGAACAAAGGACAAGCAAAGCACAGGCTCACAATGATGTGGGAGTTCACAACCACTAGTGTGTGTGTGTTAACACTTAGTGTATGTGTGTGTCTGTGAGTGAAACATGGCACATCTGCAGTGGAGATAAAAGTGCTCACAGTTCTGTTAAATGTCAGGGTTTGGGATGTATAAAAACAGGCACCAATAATTCATTTCAAAACTTTCCTCATATTTAATGTGTGTATCCTGGAAGTCCTGCGTGCACACGCTGAACTTTTTAATTCAAACACACCTTTCAGAGTTCTTGGTAGGAGTCTATCAGCAGACAAGGTAATAATAATCAGTGAGAACAAAAGGTCTGATTTTCTTGGGGTGAAGTTGTTCTTTATGTGGACGTGTGTATGGCATCATTCTTACTTTAAATGAACTTCCTAACCATCATCAGCTTTCTAACAAACACCCAAATGTTTTGGGCAATAAGTAATTGGTTTATTTGACCAACCTTCACTAAAAGCCCAGTCCAGCTGAAGAAACCAAGCCCACAGCCTGATGACACCACCGCTGTGTTTCATTATATGTGTGGTGTTCTTTTAGTGATGTGTTGTGTTGTTTGTGCACTGATAGAGAAATTGTGACCACAGTTTAGACTAACAGGGTGGTGGTGCTTACATGTCTTACACATGTTGTTCCTGCAGTGTTCTTGTAGGTCTCTGCTGTGACCGGCTAATATTTCTTCTTTGGAGAACTGGAGCAGTGTCCAGTCCTCAGTTACACACTGTCAAATATGTTCAACATTACTTTACTTTAGTGATGCTGAGGAAATGTTTTCTAACCTTCTCCTGAAAGAAGTCTTTCAACAAAAGGATTCTTTTGATGCTTTGTAAGAAACTTCGTATTCAATGAACTGAAGTCGATATTAAAAACCCAATTGTTAAATAAAATGGTTTGTAGAAGGAATTAAACCATACTACACCAGAATTCTGGATCTGAGTGAGGTTTATTGTCACTCAAGCTGACAGGAAACCAACACAACCTTCTTCAGTGCCTGCGTTCGCCCCCTACTGACCTACGGCTGAATCACAGGCATTCAGACAAAATCCTCAGCCACTGTCATCACAACGTTTGATTATGTGTTGTCACATATTTCGGACATGTAACTGAACTTATTTCAATCAAAACATAATAGATTAAACATTGTCAACATTACAAAAAGGAAAACCTAAGAATATAGTGTTGTGCTTTTAACATCAGTACTAACCTCGAATACCTTTGAGCTTTGTCAGCTCTCTGAGAACCAAGGCTTTTACTGGAGGACAGAAATGCCAGGAAAACACAACCGAACTTTATTTCATTTTAATCAGACTCACTCCAGCTGATGAAAACTATTCAGGGAGGCTGAAAGCTTTAATCAAATCAAAAATTCTCTAACAAAATTAATAGTTTAGAAATGTTCCAAGTTTTGTCAACAACTGTACTTTTTTAGTTGAATTGTACAGGACACACTGTGTCACATAGAAGGTGAGAAAAGTTGTAAAATGTTTACAACCTGGCACTGTAACAGTGATGTGTCGACTTTATGCATCCACTGTATCATGTCCCACATTCAATGCATCATCCCAGTAAATCATAACATTGTAGTTTCCCTAGGTTTCTCTTGTTCATTGTCTCTAATAAAATGTATAGAATCATTAAATGTTATGAAAATTGGTTTATGCTTCATGAATCCTTGTATTTGTGAACAATGCATGGCACTACTCACCCTAGACTTGGGACGGGAAGGGGACACCTGCAGAATAGTTCAAAGCAGACAGGAAAGAGGCTTTGACTTGGTGAGGAAAGGACAGAAGGAACAAGGAAAGAACAGCAGAAGGGAAGCGTGCACTAACATTGCCGGAGCACTTTGAATCTTCTGACGTGTGAGGCCTGTGAGTGTTAGAGAGGTGTTGCTCACTGTGGGCATTACTCACGATCGTGCGGAAGAAATGGACCACGGCATTCTCTCCTCCTCGTTTACGTGGTGAGGTCACGGATGCTTTCTGAGGGGCTGGAGAGAGAGCACCTCGGAAAGAGCCCTGGGGAAAGAAGGAAAGGAGCAGCAGAGCCTGTTACACGTGCAGCATGGCCCTTAACTGGCTCGGATGTTAGGATGCCATTCTCAGAATCTCACAGAACTGTTTTCGTTTCAATGTTTGTCAGGTTTGATCCCTTGCTTCAGTGCTCCACATGATTATTAAAGACTTTATTTACTTTTGAAAAGTTATGCCATAGCACCTATTTTAAATATGATTAGAAGATTTTAATGGCTGGTCTGTCTCGGAGTGTTTCTTGGAAGGGTCTCAAAAATTACTTATCAACTATCTCAGACTGCAGGTTTACTTGTGGTTCCTTGAGTTTCTAAAAGTAGAATGAGAGGCAGAGCTTTCAGTTATCAAGCTCCTCTCTTTGTCATGATTTTAGCATATTCTCTGCCAAGTCAAGTCACAGCCAAGCTCTCACTCATTGTCTCACCCCTCCCATCAC